TATATAGATATATCTATCTCTATATATATAAAAAGGTCAGCACCACAGGTTGTCCAGCTTGCATTCTAGACAACTAACAAAACCCCTCAACAATTTAACCATAATTTAATAGATTTATGGCATTTGGTTTACATGTTATAAAGCAAAGTTATTAAAACAAGGTAATTCACTTTGCTCACTTTTGCACACAAAGTAATAGTTTAAAAAAAAATGAAAACCAAACAACATTCTTTTAAAACCAAAATCATCCTCCCAAAGTCCAAGGTCCTAAATCCTAAGCAGAGAGGAGACCTAGCAGTTGAAAGAGTGGTACATGGTAAAAACCTTGACACACTTTCACATTCACCTCAACCAGAATAGGAAAAGTGAAAGCATTTTATATATATAAAGCAAATTTATATATATAAACAGACTAACTACCAAAAACAGTTAGTAAAAGCAAACATGTTCATCATGACACACAGAAGGAATCAAAGCTGTAACATTCTCTCTCCCCATTGTTGTGTAACTCATTACCAGCAACAGGATTTAGGAAATAAAATAAAGGGAGATTACAGCTTCGTTGTGCATCCAGCAGAGCTGCCCATCTTATACTAGTATCTTTCTCCACTGGAATTTGTGTCTTGACAGATCAACCAGTAGGGACACTTTAGCAGACTCTTCCTATACTTTCCCCAGCACACTGTCTTTGATGTTTTGAACATCTTCAAAAGTAAAAAAAAAACAACAAAACAACAACAACAAAAAACAACCACCCAGCCTACTTCAAAAACAAAGAATACTTATGTAGTCTTCTCCAGAAACCATTTCAAACTGATTTCCAGAAGGTCAGGAAAATTAAAAGGCTGTTATATTGTACTGAAGATTACTAAAAGAATAAAAGATTTAAAAAATACATTAGTAATGTGCTTGTTTGTGTTGCACTTAGAATGTAATATTTTAATCAGATGTGTTAGACATTGCATGAATTTCCATACTAGAATCCATAGCTTCAGAAGCTGAAGCATCATTATCTACTTTCTGTTCCACAAAAGCTTCTGTTCTGTCTGGAGACTCTACCCTGTTTCTTACTTCTGTTACCCCAGGGTGATTTTTTCGCAAATGCTGGTTTAGTGTACCCTGGAAAGGAAAACATTTTCCACAGATCTCACAGCGAAAGGGCTTGTCATCTGTGTGACCACGAATATGATACTCAAGTTGGTCCTTGCGGGTATATTTCTTCCCACAAAACTTGCACACAAAAGGAGTTATTCCCATGTGCAATCGCATGTGTCGATCGAGGCTCCCTTTCTGGTTGAAAGACTTTCCACAGTAAATACAAATTAGCCTCTCACTGTATGGATACCAATGACCTCTTGTATTTCTTTCCCGTGGACTATTTTCATATCCTGGGTTACTCACCATGGATTCACTGTCAGTCCCTTGCACCAAGCCCTGAACATCACTATGCAAGTGACCAGCGGATACCCGTTTTTGGCGTGCACGACCCCCTCTGAAACAACTCAGCATTGACCTTGAAGGACTCGTATTGCTCAGGTTTCCAAAGGTTTCAGACACACCTGTAGCCTGTGATGAAGCATGGGTAAATGAATAAACATGTTGTAAGACAGACCCATAGGAACCAACATTTACTGCCACCACTTGCTCTCCATCCACCATTTCAGTATGATATCCATCATCACCAAGGGAAGAGCTATCAGAGCAGCTTGGCCTGTCAGACTTTTCCATTTTAACTTTCACCTCTGCAATCTGACTTTCCCTTACTATCAGGTCTCCTTGCTCATGATCACCTTCAATCTGAATCTCATATTCAGAGATACTCCCACTGCTTCCTCGATCTGAATGCCCTTCTTCTTGCAGACGACTACGTAGAGTTTTGCCTGGAGTAGTTTCCATCCTAAGATCGCTGCCTGCTGTTGACTGTCGCACCTGAGAGCAATAAGGGGGAGATATCTCAATAGGATTGGCAAAGTAGCTGCTGTCTTTCACTCCATTGCGATTTTCTGAATTTTCTTCAGCACCAACAGTGACAGAGTCAACATCACCAACACTGATCTTTGAATGAATACTCTCCAGTATCTGTGTGCATTTATCAATGACGCACTGCATCTGTAGAAAGCTAGCTGCAGTTAGAAAACTAACAACATCCTTCAGCTGTAAGGACATCCTTCCAGTGTAACAAAAAGAAAGCAACTGTTCAAAAACATTGGGATTTTTAATAACTGGTATTGATAAGCCACTCATGGTGCTTAATGCTGAATGGTCACGGAAATAGGGAGAACTGGCAGCTAATACAGCTTTATGGGCTCGAAATGGCTGACCCTGAATATGCACAATTATGTCACATAGCTTTCCTTGCAAGCGGAGTTCATTTAACTGGCTCAGAACAGTGTTGCTGTACTCGGGCACATCAAACTGAATGAAACTGCTGCTGTCCATTTCTACTGATGTAAAGAGTAATCTGAAAGAAAAATGAGAAGATTTACAACTCAGAATGAATATAAAATTTTTCATTTAAAAAAAAAATGCTTGCACATGTTGAAGTTAATTCACCACACTGATCTGTTTAAGGTGCATTGCAACAAAACAGCTGGTATAAATACCTGATATAATACAAAAAGTAGAGTCTTAATCTACCCATTTCTTGCATTTCTATGATTTTAATTATCCTTCTGCAACATTCACAATTCAACTGCTCATAATACATCACAGGCTCCCTGAGACAGTCTATGTCCTAAAAGGATCTTTGTAATTTCACTCCCTGGCAAGAACTGCAGAACAGTACCCCCACCCTCCCAAAAGAATATTAATTTTATAGTCATTAGGCAAGTTAAAAACTTCAGAACCTTTAGTACGTCTTCAAGCCAGATACTACATTGATATTTGCATGGAACTGCAGTGTTAAATTGCCCAAGAGTGATTTTGGAAGGTACTTCATGAAGTTTGAAAAACCTGCTAAAGAAAACAGCTGCGTGTGTGTGTGCGCGCATGTGTGTGTGTATGCGCATGTGCACGTGTGTGTGTGTGCATACACACACACAAAAATACTTTAAAAAAACATTCCTTAAGTCTAGGTATGTCAAAATTATTTCAGAGGAGATGACTATACTATACCAGTGACATTTCTGTTTAAACATTTACCTTCTTAGAAAATAATCTCAATAGTTATTTTTAAAAAGTAAAAAGCAATCTTTCAATATTTACATCACAAAACAAGGAAATCCTAGTGAAAGGAAACATTTAGGTGTGGACTCAATTCCAAACTATTTACCCAGTGTGTCAGAGGTTCCCAGATAATAATGAATTGGTGTCAATATGTGAGGCAGCATTTGAAGGAAAAGTGTTTGAGCAACCCATGGACTTTCAATTAAATTTTTAAATTTCCTTTTGTGATTTTAATTATCTATTCAATAAAACATGATGTGAACTTTGAAGCTCATCTGACACAGCAGTGATTTCCTAGCCAGAATGATTTGACATTTAAATTCTAACCTAACTCAAAAGCCATGGGTACACAAACTTGTCTGATACACTGGGAAACGATGTTTCAAGAGGCTTTAGAGAAATGTATACATTTCAAAACAAGATCTAAAGAAAAGCACTTTACAAATTTTTCATAAATAATTATCATAAGAAGCACACACACAAAATTGTCCCCTTGAGAGTGTCTATCTGTAGCAGACATCACCTTACATTTCCAAGACTGGGCCCCTAATCAAATGCTCAAGAATCTTCAGACTTTTATTGCTATTCTTGTTCTTATTAATGCAGAAGTCTAAACATATCATATTGCCACCATACCTGCTTTTCCAATTGAACAAACAGATCTCAACATCATCCATTGACTTCTGATGCAGGAAGCATGTCCAATGTATCACAACATACTAGTGGATTTTTTTTTTCTATTTATGTCTTATGTTACATGCTGTAATGGGACATATGAACAATTTAAATCAAATTATGCAAATTCAGGCACTCTAAAAACAAAATAAACAGGTAGGAACACGATAAAAAGCCTACAAGGAAGAACTGGAGCTGCATCAGCTGCTGTCACTTAAAACTAACATTCACAATCTTCACAAAGGTTCTCTTCTTTTCAGCAGAGAAACAAGACAGCAAGCTTCCTGACTTGACTAATATTACATCTGATTTAGAAAACTGCCAAAAACTCTTACAGAGCATTTAACATCAGGTTATCAGAGTTGCTAAACATTTTCTGTAAGTTACCAATGTGTCATAGATTAAAATAAGTAAACCAGACTTCATCTGAGTTTTTACAGTTGTTATGTAAAAGCAGGGGAAAAGACATTTTGTATGCTCATGTATCCGATGAGGGAAATAAGGCCTAAAAGGTGGTTATCAGAAGTGATATGATCACAGCCATCTATACAGAGATAGCTTTGGCAGGACAGTTCTTTTATTCAGCAAAGCAAGCTACAAAATCATTCAGAGCTTGTGAGGTGATGCAAATCAGACACAGGTCAGGAATCAAACATTACAACAAACAAAACCCAATCTAACAGTGTTGTACTTAAACGGCACGATCAACCCCGTTATTCTGAGCATTCCTGCATGTTGTGCAGAGAACCACTGTTCAAGTCCCTAGCAGATGCATCCGCTCCATTGGGAAGACAGAAATCTCAGCAGGTAGGATACATGTTTGTCAACTTCCCTCTCATTTGACAGGGCAGCAGGCTTCCTTACAAACCCAACATAGGTCACTACCTTTAATTTGTGGGGCTTATGAGGTATGCACAGATGCAACATCAGGACATTCCTGATTAAGTTTCTCTTTGCTAAGTGAAGGAAGAGCTTCTGTTGACCTTAAGTGACATGAATTGACAAGTCACCCAGGTTGAGGACTCTGTATAAAGCACAAGACCAGTCCCCAGCAGTGATAATTCGTTATTCCTGCATAATTTTGTATCCTTGAGCTAAGGAACCAGACCTTGGTCAAGTCTCGCTAACACCCCATCAGAAATTACTCCTTTTTGTGTGTCTAGAATGCACAGAAAGTTTGTCATATGTAGAAAGTGGCCTTCCTCCTTGCCCCATACTTCCCAAAGGGCTCTTACTCAGCAAAATGGAGAACAACTTAGTTCTAGACAAAATACTAAAATACAAAATGTCACCACTAGCACTGGTCCAGACAGAAAGAATGACTTAAGGATAGGCACCTCAGTAGAAAGAAAATAGGACATTTTATGCCTTACCATGGAGGGAAAAAAAAAATATGTTCTTTCAGTCATGGCATTTTAGCATCTCTAGATGAATTCACACTCCCTAGGACATGGCCACACATTGAAAATACACTGTGAACACATACCAGAGAAAGCATGAGAACCAGGGAGAGGGACACCAAGAGGAAGGGGATCCTCAGCGATCCTTGCCCATCAGAACTCTGTTAGAACATCTATCTCCATAGCCATATATATCTATAAGCAATTATACATCCTTTTCTCAGAGTTGCTTAATCTTTCTTTTGGGAAACAAAGAAGCTTCTTTGCCTTAATATCTTAGGAGTAAACAGCACAAATCCTGGTAGTGAGTGGAGAGGATGGAGTTAAGGGTCTGCAAGTCTGGCTGTCAGCGTGGCAGATAAGTTGTAAAAACCAGAAACCAGGATGAAGGGAATATACAGTATTGCTTTGAAAGCAAACAAACAGATCAAGTATACAAAACACAGCCCAAAAGGTAGTGGACAATGAGTTTGTATGCCCAGCTGCTCTTAAAAAAGAAACTGAACAATCTACAGCATGCACTTCTTGTGACTACTTTTCCACCTTAGTTTCTTCCTTTGAAGAAGCATGCTTCCTGTGATCTTGAAAACATCTGTAGAAAGCTGGGGTTAAATAACAAGAATTTTGAACAGCAGCACTTGACAGAAGGGAACCCTTCTTTCGCTTCCAGCCAAACTCTGAACCCTCTAGTTGAAGAGGAACTGACAAGGTTGCCAGTGAACACCAAATTCAGGAGTAGGCAGGACTATAGCAGGGACAGCACTGAGACTGCAGTAATTTTGCTGGGGTTAGTACCAGGTCCCCCCAACTTTCTTGCATCTATTTGGGAAGGCAAGACCAGGGGAAAAAATCTGGGCATTACACACGTCAGAGAAGCAGGCACCACTAGCAATGTTTTATTGATGAATAATGATTAGAAGAACGATCTTATTTATTCACATAAATCCCCAATGTCACTATCTAGAAAATAAAAGTAATCTTTAGATTATATTCCCATACACAAGAAGGTTTTATTTTATTTGTATACAGAATGAAGTTCGCAGTTCCATAATCAAATTCCAGTAGAATTAACGAAAATATTATTCAGCAGGGTACTGTACCATAACAATACTCAATTATTCATCAATGCTGGCAGGCCAGTAGCTCTTTCAAGACAATATGATTTATGGTTGAAATTATTTCTGAAACAGTCCTGGAAGATTACTACAGTTTGAAAAGGCTAAAGAACCGCCCAATTTTTCAAAAGCTTCCTCCAAGTTGAAATGTCTCCCTAGCCTCTTCTCATTTGGGGTGAAGCAAGTAGCATTAAACTGAAGCAGAAAGGTACTCTAAAATGCAAATTAACTTTGGACACAACCATTGTATGCTCTAAAGAAAAAAAAAAAATCTCTACAGTTAACCAGACAGTCATAAGGAAGTTTTGCTTCCCAAAGCAATGAAAATGTAACTACTTTAAATTCACATAACCATTCTTTATAGAATTAGCAGAGGTGAAGGGGACAAAAAAATAATGGGTAGTCAGAAGTCATGTCCAGTACCTTCCATGATATTTCAGCATATACAGAGGTAACCTGTGTTCTTTAGGTGCAAGACCACAGTATAGTAGCTCAGAATGAAGACAATTTTATTTGAGGAGTAGTGAGAACTAAGACAACCCACAGCAATGTTATGTACTCTTATTGTTAAAAAGTAATGCATTTTGTCTTGCTTTAGCTTCCACCCCTGACTGTGGAATAGCATAATGTTACGTTAAAGTCCTGTAAAACCTCTGGGCAGCTGGCCTCTCTTAACTTTCCTGCATAAGTAGATCAAAGTGTTTAAGGTTTTCACAGATATTACATATCCAAGGAATTGGCTGAAGGCATTCTAGTTTTAAAGCAGAGGCCAGAAGAGGACACTAAGTTCACTAAGTCTTAGTAGCGCTCTGTGTTGAGCCTCCTGTCTATTTCTGTAGGAGATGATCCAGTCACACTCAAAAGAATCATATCAATTCTCTTTGCATCTGCATTACATTTATTCATCAGGGTCTTATACAGCAAACGTAGACCATAGTACGAATTTACTAGTAGTGGATCGCTGCCCTATGTCTTCAAACAAAAGTGTTCATTGAAGTAACCTGTGAACATAAGAGTGATATGCATTTAACATTTCTCATTAGATTTCAGAAGAAACTTACTTTAAAAATTACGTTCTATGAAAGCTCTTATTTCACTTAAAAAATAAGAATAGATGGTGACAAAACACATTTGGTATTTAATTTTACTGACATCATACAGTAGCAGCAGGGAAGCATCATATAACTACAACATGAAGCTGTGTGTCTGCCAACGTCGTATTAGTTTCTGCTTCTAAGTCTGCACCTGTTTAATTTCATTCACTCATTGATGTATGATTCGCTGTTCTCTTAGACAGGTGAATGATAGAAAGTATGCTCATTTTAACTCACACAAAGGTGTGAGAAAAGATCCCTTGTGTTTTCTTTAGTTAGCTCAGCAACATGGGTTCCTTGGGAAAAAAACACACATTACAAATCATTACTGTTGTAGCACGTGTCTGAAAACAGAAATACATAGAAAAGTTAGGATCATCATAATGAAAATTAAGACTAAAAAAAAAGTGCTCCATGACACCAAGAATGGATATTCCACACATTACTGCTCAGAATACAGAGAAAAAGCAATAAAAGAAACAGATATTTGTATAAATCAGTGGACTCCTCCCTTGCATTTGGCAAGATTCAGTATTTACTATACCACCTGTGACAACTTAAGACATCATTGCAAAAATGTGTCAATGTTCAAGAGAATTTTAACCTAGGAATGTAACCCTATCAGCTGAGATCATGGAAGTGTTAGGGTAAAAATCTTCACTCTCACTCCTTTCAGTTTGCATTTGCCTTAGTCTTCAGATTACAGCAGCCATAATAATTAATGATATCTGTACCAAAGAAAACTGCAATCAGATATGTCAGTCTACGTGCATTTCTAAGACAGTCCTCTTTAAATAATCTTTGAAAACAGAGAAGAAACTGATCATATTAACTTTTACCAGTTTATACCTCTCATAACAGTGAAGTATTCTACTCTTTTAGAAGTCAACATTTAGTGCCCTTGCATAGCCTTATGTAGCGTGACACACAGTACTGCCGCTTCACTGAAAATCTGGCCCCCAAAGTATGATAAGCTTCCCTACAGCTAGAAAACAGATTTTAATATCACAGTCATTAAAAAAAAAAAAAACAAAAAACAACTCTCCCCATTAAGGTAATTTTGTGCAGAACTACAACACACTTACAGTAAAATAACCAGTACTATGTAAATATGTAGCATTGTTTTTTGCATCAATTCATCCTAAATCCAGCTAGCCATTTTCTTAAGAACTCTCTGGCCTTTAAAGGTCATGAGGGAGACTAAATTATTTTATACTTATCTCAAGTGAGAAAATCATATACTACTGGTTTTTATACATTTAAAAATCAATTGCACTAAAGGTTTTTTCCAGAAAAATAGAGCCTTGTGTATTTTCAGCTCATCCATGCAGTCTATTTTGTGGTCTACACAACACACTGCCAGAGGCATCTTCCTGGTGACAGAAAATATACC